TTGTACTGTAATTAAGTACTTTTTTTTGAAATATGCATAACATTGTCAATGTGATGATGTTTATTTGAATGCCATTTTCTTTTGGCTTTTTTAGTAGTCTAAGATGGGTTTGATCAGAAGGACTCTCACTGATTTTTACATGTCAAGACTGCAGTTTTGTCTGGTTTTATGCTAATATGAATTATGTACATTGTATTGATGCTAAAGAGGAGGAGTTGGAGGGTGACATTGTAATGTATCTGAACTTCAGAAGCATGTTTTACAAACCCTTATTGTACAGATTATGTATTCAGTGTCACGTTACCTGTTACTGTTGTTGCTTTCTGTGTGTTTCTCGTACAAAGCTTTTAATTAAAAGCTCTCTAAAAAAAACTTTCGGCTGTTGTCATATTTTAGTGTGATTTAACATAAGAGGCAGACTGTAGAATTAACAGCTGTAGTTTTTCATTTTACTTGGTGCTGACAGTAGAGCTACAGTTAGGCTCATCAATTCAACTTCAACACTTAAAATCAACTCCAGATCTGCCCAACTTATGAAACCTCACCTTACCCCGTCTACAGCCATCTGTTAAATAGATTTCACAGGACTCTGAATTCCTCTGAAAAATTAAGTGTACCTTTACTGCTTTCACAGGAAATAAGAACAAAAGTAGCAGCTGGCCGCTGCTAATCAGACAAGCGATTCCTTCAATTCATTAGCAAGTGTGAGCACCTTTAGACTTTTGTAACAGTTTGCTGCTCTGGAGTGTTCTGGTGTGTGTTAACGAAGTGCTAAATCTTCCTGTAGTGTATGTGTATGGCCTAGTAAATTCACCCTAACGTCAGACTGAAAGGGCCAAAAACTTGGCCCTAACTGTATCAGAAAAGAGGTGGAGAGGGAAATCAAGTCAAGTGGCTTTATTGTCATTTCAACCATATGCAGTGGTACAGTACACAGTGAAATGAGACGGTGTTCCTCCAGGATCATGGTGCTACATGTAACAGAAAATCAACACAGGACTACATAAAGTGCATGTGTGCAAAACTTGCAAAAACAGTGCATCACCAGGCAGAACAAAGATGCAGACACAAGGCAGTGCAACAGAAAAGTGCAACAATGACAAAGGATTGTGCAGAAAGTACTTGAGTTAATGGAATGTTTAAAGGTGTGTGTGTTGTATGTATATGACGCTGTGCAGGAAATGTTTGACTGCCAGAGCTTCATATCAGGTAATCTCTCCATATCTGCCACCCTATTTGTCATGTGTGTTCATATTCACATGGCAGAGTGTACAGGGAACGTCTACAAAGTACAACGCAAACAAAAATATAATACATATATAAATGTTCTCAGACAGTGTCACCGATATGTAACGGGCCTCTCACAGCCGGCTGCACATAGAGACCAGTTCTGTTATTGGAAAACAAATCATTTAAAAAAATATATATATATGAAAGTTAGTTTGTGTTTATGAAATATAGAGCATGAAAAGGCTTCCAGTTACTCATGGATGGTACGTACTGACACTACTTAAAAACACTGACAAGTTCTTACTCTGATACGGCGGAAATGGCTAATAATAATCCTGCTTGGACTATCTGGAAAAAAAGACCAATTTCACTTGAGCACTATTGCCAGAGTCCACTGTGAGGCGCTGTTGAGCTGCTCATTTTCTTTCAGAGTAATGTAGCAGCAGCATCTGTGTTCTCAGATGGATTGTGAGGGTTGGGGGTCATATTAAGGTCATCACGCCTGTGTATTCATCTTTGTGTGTTTTGATGTGGAGATGAATACGTCGAGTTCAAACAGCTTCATCCTTTTCCACAGGCAGTATTTCATTTTATTCTTCTACCCTTCAGACTGTTGGAGGTATAACAGAAAGACACATGTAGTCTCCTTTCACTCCTTCCCCGCTCTGCCTTTGGTTCTCTGTCTGTTTCCTTCCTGGCCCGATACCACAGGCGCTTACTGTATGAGCCAGATGGAGCTAAAACAGACCCAGAGTTTGATACGAGTGGCCGACATCTGTGTGTTTGTGTGTGTGTGTATATAACCTACACATGTGCATTAGTGAGTGCAAGATCAGTCACCTCTGGAGATTAAGCCACAATCTGGGTTACTGGTCATTAGACTGAAGCCCATCTACATTTGGTGTTTGAGCTTCTGATGGTTATAGATACATATTCTGTATTTTTTCATGTGATTTCATTCTGCAGGAGTTTGACTTGAGGGTAAAAACTAACACAGCAGTGTAGTTCCACAGTATTCCTTATATCCTGTTAAATAGAAATTTTTAAACTGTGTGTGTCCTTGCAAAAGAGGTGAAAGTGAATCTTTTCTCTTTGCTTCATAAATATTCCAGCCTGTTCACAGCTAAAAGCCCGGGTCAAGTTGATTGCAATGTTCCACACTGAAAACAGACTCCTAACAAGGTTAAGCTGCATCGAGAAAATTTTTTAAAAAACACTCTCAAACATAAGCCCTGCAAAATCAATGGGTGACACCTCACCTCCTGTATTATGGAGCAAGCACACAAGAAGAAGAGGCAGAGATGCCTTCATTGGCTCTGCAGACTGGAAGGAAAGCAGTCGGAGGACGTGTTTACATTCGCTTCCCACCTTAGCCGGTCTGTCGCTTTACACTGAACAGATAGGTAAGACGTTTTGAACAAACGGTGAATTCTAATGACTTTGACAAACACAAAGTGCCACCAGCTGCTCCAGGTTTTCACTTATGCCATTCATGGATGGGCTCAAAATCTGACACAACCAGCCCTGAGACGATAAATCTCACTTTAGATCTTCTAGAGTTGACAGCTGCACTTTTTTAATTTGACTGGCTGCCTGGAGTGGTGTTGTCAGACGAGGAGCGCAGAGGGATTTGTTTGGCTGCCGGAGCTGCGGATCTGGTTTCATATTCTAAATCATCTGTTCATCTGATATCCATATGAAAATATTGTTTGCTGCAATTTCAACCTTGTTGGTTGGAAACCATGTTTTGGCTGCTGTGAATCTCGCCAGTGCACTGCTGCTCGCTGCCTGAATGCTATCATCATTGTACCTGACTGGGTGGGACACATGGGGCTGCTTTCACAGTCTTTCTCCAGACATCAATGAAATTCTTAAAAAAAAGTCACTTGTGTTCATCAAACAGAGTGTGAGTGTGTTTTTTTAATCCACTCTGTAGAATAGCTTAGATTTAACTCCACACCTTTAATTCATTTACTATGCACAGCTACACGAAAATGCAAAACCCTATTTCCTCAGCCACTTACTCTTGGGTGGAGGCTGTACCTCAAGAGGTTCATCTGCTAATGAGTGGAGGGTTGGTGGTTCGATACTAAGCTATTTGAACTCTTGTGTATGGGGCTGCATAGCTGTGGACCAGTCAGGGTGCCTGTGCTGACTTCTGTCCACTCCTGAAAGCACCAAAAATGAACATGTGAGCATCAGAACTGGACCACAGAGCAGTGGAAGAAAGTGGCTGGTCTGATGAATCACGTTTTCTTTTACATCATATAGGTGGGGCTATGTGTGCATTGTTTACTTGGTGAACAACTAGCACCAGGATGCACTATGGGAAGAAGGCAAGCTGGTGGAGGCAGTTATTACTTTGTTGCATATCACATACACCCTTTCATGCCTGTGGCTTCTAAGGTTTTGATTATTAGGCAATTAGGCATTAGCTAATAAAAACTGTCACTGTGAATTGAGAGGTCCAGGCTGACACTTATATTAACAGCTGTGAGAGAAATATCTATTGGAAAGTGTGTTACAGACATCAACAGCCCCTAAGAATGAAATAGAAATGAAGTAATGAACAAGTCCCTGAACCTGTTGAACATATCCATCAACCTTAATTCTTTTGGTTAACGCTAATAAAACCTACTCTCCTCTTACACTATCACAGCAAATACAGTAAACACTGCTGCAGTAATGATGTAGCAATCCAAGGGTGTCAAAAGCTGCTGTTCTGTGAGAAGCTGCTGGTGAGACACACAGAGATACACAAATTCTCCTTTAGCTACAGCGACGCTGGATGTGACAAAGATAGCCCTGCTGACATTAACCTGGTAATTCGTGACACCAACAGCAAAGAACACCTTGGTGTCAAACGTCAGCATTTGACCTGGCTTAAAATGAGAACACTGAAGTCCAGTCCACTCATTCATGGTCCAGCTACAGCACAAACAGGCCTTTGATCTCAGGTGGACTGAAATAAAAGCGCTGCATAACAAGAAAAAGAATACAAGTTGTTTCCATTCCTTTGAGTGTAAGGAAGTACAGGCTTATTCTGAAATTAAACGTTGAATAAAACATGTATTTTCAAAAGACGTGATGAGCATCCAGAGCTTGCTTGAGAAAAATAAGTGCACTTTCAACAATATGTCTCGGTTTTATAACATTCAGGCGGTCGACTTCTGTTGTAAGTCAGGGGAAGACGTAAGCACGATGATGTCTGTGTGAGTAAGAAGGCTATAAAACTGCAGATGATTCAGACCTCACAACATAATGGCTGCTGCTGTAAAACAGTGAAAAGTTTCTGCTTCATTCTCTGCAATCCAAGCAGCGGGCCACGTTGGGCAGGGTGGATATGGCAAGTATGTGTTTGTGAGATATCTCTGGAAAGTGTAAGTTAGGTGAAAGGTGTGTCATGGGAAGTGACCTCACTGATTTTAGCTGTTTCATTACAAAGCAAGAATCGCATATTAATAGCTTTACTTTCCCTTCTCAACACTGACAATACCAGATCTTTTCACAGTGGTTGATTACATTTCTTTCTTTTTATTTATATTTAAATAGGCATATTTATTTGGATTGCTATGCAGAGAAAACTTTCCTCCATCCAGCGGAGAGGATTTGTTTGCTGAACAGAGCCACAGAGGACAGAGGGTCAGGGTTGGATCATTCCTGTTGGCGTTAGTGCTGCATTAGTCGGGACTGCCTCTTGAGGAAAACATGTTCTTCCTCCTACTCAGTATAAAAACCCTGGTGTTAAAGGTCCCACGTCTCTGTTTTTCCTTTCTTCTCCTCCTCTACACTATCCAGCCTTTCCACTTCTGCTGCAGCTCGTCTTACGCGCGATTTCTTACATCAGATGTCTCATGTAAATAAACTCAGACTGTACACATAGTTGTGAAAGAAAAAGTGCACTGCACACTGGGATTTTGCATCCCTTATCAATGCAGTTTGGATTCTTTTCATCGGTTTTTATGTTAAGTTTTAAGAATGTGTCCACCCCACCTCCCCTTTTTTCCCTTCCTTTTTATCTTCCAAGCCTCCAGAACAGGATGTGCGCTCAGGCAGTGCAGTCACACGCTGATCCATCATCGCCTTGTTTGCTCGGCTGCTGCTGGAGGTTCACCTAGGCTCTGACCCGCGCATGCCCACAGCCTCGCTCCTCCTCTCCGAGAGATCCCCATAGTAACGCGCGGAGGAGAGCAGCTTAGCAACACGGAGACTGGAGAGGGAGCTTCTCTGCTCCAGACAGCGCGGTGCCGTCAACATTAGGTACACACAGAGGGTGGTGAGGAAACAACAGCAGCAGAGCCCCGGATCTACCCGCTCCTACAGTAAGTGTCACATTCCGTCTGAAAGATCTGGCGACTTTATTTGACACGTCAGGCTGAGACTTTGATTATATTGAGGCGGGCTGCAGTCTTCCTACATGCTGTTCTGAGTTCAAGCCTCCAAAGCCCAGACAAGTCTTTGTTTTATTTTTTTAATTATTTTTAAAGGATTTTTTATTTGTATTTGTTTTTTATTGCAGGCTCGTGTGTGTGTCACCTTGTGTCTGAACTCCTGATCTACATCACTGCTCTTCACGGTCACCATGAAGTTCGCAGTGGTGCTCGTGGGAGCGGGCACTCTGGCCTTCCTCGGCGCGGTCATCTGCATCATTGCCAGCGTTTATCCGCGCAAACGCGCCGCTCTCGTCAGCGATAACGGAACCCTGACGTCGGAGTCGCTGCTCCAGCCTCTGGAGCCGGGGTCGGTGGCTCACGCCGGGCCGCTGGGCGCTCTGCACGGCGCGGAGTCCTACGATGGTGGAAACGGACTCGGCGGCATCGGCGTGGAGGTTCCCACTCTGAACGAGCTCAACCTTGGGGAGGAGACGGGTGGAGGGCCGGCGAAGCAGTTCAGCTTCAGCCGACTCATCTGCACTCCTGTGCCGGTGGGAGAGTGCAAGACCAAAGACCTGAGGCAGCGGAGGGACCAGCAGCAGCAGCAGGCGGACGATCCGCTCTACGGCACAGGGGATGAAGACCTGCGGACCACCGCGGAGGAACTCCGGCAGATGGTCCTGCAGCAGAACGACCAGATCCTCATGGACCAGAGGACCATCCGGGAGCTGACCGGGAAGCTCAGCGAGTGCGAGAGCGGCCTGGAGGACGAGCGGAGCATCCCGGAGCGCAGCATCGGGGTCTGGAGCGGGAACCGCCGCGTCATGGCCGGGGATGATGTGACCTCATCCGCCGCGGCACAGCTGCAGACAGCGCGGGCCGTGGAGGAGCTGGCCCGGGCCATCATGGAGCTGAAGGATCGCATTGAGAAACTGGAGGTAAACACAGGGATGCTGAGTGCGGGCTTGTCGCTGATTAACCTCCTGTCTGAGTTTTGTTTGACAGCGGGAGATTTGGAGAGGCACCAGAATGATGCATTAGCAGACGAGTCAGTGCCATTCAGTCTAAATTAAGCTCATTTCAAGATCTATCCTAATTTTAGTTTGATATCCACTGTGGTGGTTTAGGACTAACCATTATAATTGACTTATGATTCAGATTAAAGTGCCACAGCTCTGCTGGTTCTCTGAGCCTGAAGAGGGGCTTCTGTGTTCATCACAGGTGCTCTGGTCTTTATCTCTCTACACATCTTTTCATTCTCCCCTCCATCTTTTATCTTCTGCTACTCTTTCCTCTGACAAGTAGCCTAACTCGTGACACAGATACCCCTGATCTCTTGCGCACGCTCCACGCGGACCCATGGGAAATCTTTCCACCTGCTGGCCCTCACGCTCCTCCGCATCCCCCCACCCTGCTGCCTCATACCCTGTACCACCGCATCTCCCACAGCAGGATGGAGACATAAATAAAACATAAAGCTGGCTGGACAGGAAGGAGGGAGGTGGAGTAGGGGGGTCAGATTCTATGTGTGTGTGTGTGTGTGTGCAAAGATTGAGACACACACCCACACACAAACACTGCTGCATCACTGCTGGTGCTCTCCAAGCACAGTCAGTTACAAGGTTGTCTCCGTCAGTGAGAATTTATATCCTGGACGTCCAGATCCAGTCCTGCCTCAGCAACTCTCTTGATATTATATATCGCCCCCGAAGCCGTCTCATCCACACTAACAGCTCTCTCTCTCTTTACTGCTCCTCCACCAACACCTTCTTTTTTCAACTTATGCTCTGCATAGGCTACTAATACTGCCAGTGCCCGGCTGCTACAAAAGCTCTCTCCATGGCGCTGCCTTATTAGTCGAGCCCCTTCCCTGCAGTTTCATTTCACTTTTAAACCACCACTACGTCTAACATCGATGGCAGCCATATTTAGAGGCAATAAAGACAGGACTGGGCTCTGCTCATTGCCATTATGTTAAATCTGTTCATGTATTTTTCACAAATATCCCCACAGTGAATAGGAACTGCACTGACAGGCTTTTTAACAGCATTTTCCACTTTTAGCCAATATTCTGACCCTCAGCTCTCATAAAAAAAATAGTTAATTAATATTTATTGACATTGCTCAAGGCATCTCTACGCCCAACCTAAGGCGCAAGTAAACAGCATTAAAAATTGAAAGTGATCAATACGATTAGAGGTCATTGACATCTGGACAACACGCTCTGAGGAGGACGGAGCTCAGAGTCCTTGTGCTTTTTTCATTTAATCTTGGGAAAGGACGCGTCTGCAAGGCTGGGTGTAATCCAAGCATTTAATTACAAAGTAAAGATTCAGATCTTGTCTGGAGACATAGATCAGGGCAGATGTTTGGCAAAGGAGAACTAAATGATTACATCATATTAAGCATACGTGGAAAAAATCAGCTCACAGGAAGCTTCGGTGATGCAAGATTATTTTCAGTGCTAAAGATAAAGCTGCGACAAAGCCATAAAGAAATATGGTAAATTATAATTTACTCATCCCAAAAAGCAAATAAGCTGAGAATGATGTAGTTAAATATCCAGCTTAATAAATTAAAATATCACAGTGGCAGATGTCTCGGGAAGATAAAAAACTACATAAAAGAAAGGAGAACAATTAAATAGAAAACCAAGTATTAATATAGATAAATACCATGTAAAAATATACACACACCTATAGGTTTGTTATGAAATGTTAAAATTTGTAGTCATTTACAATTACTAATGTAAATGTTCATGACAACAAATGAGTCATATCTAAATATATTATTTTTGGAACAAAGCCTACACGGTGAAAATATGTCTTTGCATGTAACAACACATATTCTGGGGGCGGATATTTCCAGACATCATGGGTCAGGAAAGCCAGGAGTACAGCAACATCTAGGATAAATGGCTTACAAGGAGATGCCTCTGTGTCTAGACAGGCTGCATTCAGTGTCACTGTGTTGTTTGACAAGGATGTCTTTCAGTGCTTGAAATTCAAATAGTCATTTCCTTTTGACATTGAATAAAAAGCTCTAACATTGACTCTTGGTTAGCAGCTGTTAAAATGCTGCCAATATCAAAATGCTCGATGTTAAAGCACAGAAAACATTCCTTTTACGAAAAGGCTTCAGCCAGACTGATATAAGTGTAATACTGATATTTAGTGATTCAGAAATCCAATATATTGGCCGATATTTCTTTTAAAAAACACAAATTATAAACAGATTTGCTTAAAATGTATTGTTTTCAGTTATTTATGACAGTGAACTTTAAAAATAATCTTTTTGTTATTTTAACAAGTTGTTCAGATCAGCTGGTTGATGAATTTTTGGTGTTCCAAACACTCGCTAACAAGGAAGTTGCAGAGTGCCCTCTGGTGGACAAACTATGTAACATCAACATTAGTAACAAGGCTGAAGGGTGTTTCTCCCACGTCTTCGTTGCTTTTTTTACTTTTCATTTATCTTCAGCTATAAAACCTATTTGCTGATATGTCAGTATCAGCAAATAGGTGAGTGATATCGACTGATATGATATATGATTGGTTGTACTCTAGAAAAGTAATCATTAAAGGGCCACATGTAATAAGCCAAAACAGTTAAATAGTAGCGTGACTTTACTTTTGAACAGTGAACACAAAGCACGGTTTGTAATCTACAATCCTTCTGCCACTCTCCCAACCTGACTCTAAAACTACACTGAGTGTAAGTAAATATAGAAAGTGTTACATGCTAATGTTTACAATCAGTCATAAAATGCTACTTTTGCAAAGAGAAAAGTGAAACATATTCCTTTGTAGACTATCTCCAAATCACATGGTGGTTAGATCTGGGTGGGTTCAAATCCCACTACTTCATGGAGTTAAGTGGGTTCAAATATTAATAATAAATATATTATAAACACATCATTAAGTGTGGGTGTGCCTGGTTTCATTTGTGAATTTGTGAATACACAGGTGACATCTGTCCCCAATAGCTCATTCTGGATCAAAGTGAAGTTCCTACTATTTTAATTATTATTAGTATTTATATTTTAGCATTTTAT